GATGAAAGGCAAATGGAAAGCGTATGTATATATGGTTCGCATAATAGAAGAAATAATATCAAGAATATGAGTAAATATTAAATACTAGAAAAAGAAAAAATTAGGAATAGAGATTAAACGTAACGCACAATAAATACAATTAATAAAATATGGTTCACAAAATATGTATAATATGTCTCATATCCTATTTGTATCTATTAAGCATTTACACATTCATTTCCTTTAATTTTTTATTTCTAATATTTAATATTTATTTCTATATCTGGGAAGTTCTTAATCTTTTCTATTATATGCAGGACTTATATTATAACCTAAAAAGATAGATATCTCACTCGACGACCCTAACGCAGCCGTCTTGTCGTGTTCAGCTTGCCCTTTCTTTCTGAAATGTTCGAAATCGTTTTTTTCCCGCATTTCTGACGTCACGTAATCATGACGCTCACGGTGCCTCACCTTTCATCTAGGGGCACTCTAAGCACCGTGAGTGCTATATAACTATGACGTTACTGTGTTCACACTGTCGCTGCAAGCACGAAATGGACCAACCATAAGCAACCGTGAGCGCACTAATCAAGCTATAAGCGTGAATCGGACCGCGACCCATATCTGCTACTATAGGTGATAATGGGGATCCCATGGGGGTTCCAAAAATTTGTTTATAAAGTATACCATTAAAAATAAAAACTGTTGAATTTAATATCAATCTAAATGCAAGAATTCCTCCAAAGTAATCTTTGTCCCCATAGATATAGATTCCCATCTCCTAACAACACTATCAGTTGCCAAATCTATAGGTATGTTAGTGAACAATGAAACCACATCCAGTGAAACAAGTGATGAGTTAGAATCAAGTTTAATATTTTTTAATCTTTCAATTAAGTCAAAACTATTTTTTATGTAACTAGGAGCTTTGAGAATTGTATCATTAATAATTTTATGTAAATAACATGATAAATTATATAACGGACTATTAACAGATGAAACTATAATTCTGAGAGGATAATTCAATTTGTGAATTTTTGTTAACCCGTAAGCCCTTGGAATATTGCCGTCAGTACTAAGTAGCTTTTTATATGTAATGTCGTCTGTAATAAACTCCTTATTCTTCCATGTATGTAATAAACTCCTTATTCTTCCATCTACAAAGAATATTCCGTAAATCACTAATAATTTTTCTCGTAGGATCATTATTAATTACCTCATAAGTGTTATTATCTGAAAGCATATTTTTCATCTTATTAATGTAATCAACCTTATTAAGAGCAACAGTCACATTACCTTTGCATATTATTAAAATTTATTAAAATCTATTTATTAAAATCATTATCTAGAATGTGTGTTCATGTCTTTTTATCCCTTATACAGGATGTCCCTTTTTTGCTAATCACTTTTGAAAAACTGCAAGAGACAAAAATTATTTATTTTTTTCTCATAAAGTTCTGAGAATTTTTTCAGAATTTTTTAATACCGTATTTTCTCATGTTGATAAAAATAAGAAAATGCAGTATTAAAAAATTGATAAAAATTTCTGAAAAAATTCTCAAAACTTTATGAGAAGAAAATTAATAATTTTTGTCTGTTGCAGTTTTTCTGTAAAGTTGATAGTATTTGAGTAAAAAATTATTCAAGACCAATATTTTGCAATTTTTAGTAATTAATATCTTGTTAACTGTTGCGAAAATTGCAAAATGGTAAAGGACTTTTCGACTCCGTTTATTCCTCACTCAGTTTAATCCGCTCTGTCAACACAAAAGTGATTGGCAAAAAAGGTCGGGATACCCTGTACAGGAATACGCCGAGCGGCCGAGAAAGTACATTTTCGGTTTTCGGTCGCTTATAACAAGCGACTACGATACTAGAGAAAGCGAGACAGCGAGAGAGAGCGGCCGTCCTTTTCGCTCTAATACTCGCTTGTAGAGCGAGAAGGACGGGCGCTGTCTCTCACTGTCTCGCTCGCTCTCGCGGCGAAGACGGCCGACTCGATGCCGGTAAGTGTCTGCTTGGTGGGGGTACAAGTGGTGGGGCTGGATTCCGTGTTGCCGGGGAGCCAAATGTGCATCACTGCGCATATCACATATGTCAAATAGGTTCCCGAAAAACGGTGTAAACAGACGTTTTACTACTGAAGCAATGTTACCAATTCGTAGAAAATTAAATTGTGATATTTTTCGTTATTGCCAACATTATCCCCTGCTTTTTTATGGAAATTGACGGGTCACCGGAACAACCAGCCCTAAAGTTACTAAATTAACAAAGTATATGCGAACTGCCGCCTCTGCGGTTTTTGCAATTTTCAATACAGCAACCGGGCATTTTCGATAATAACAGAATTATAGCGTTTTCGGCCCGATCGGGTTTGCACCAACCTGGATTAATCTTTCCTATTGGTTGACGTCACACGCTCTACCAATAGCAGAACGCAAAACGCCATTAATCCAATCCAGGTTGGTGCAAACCCGGCCGGGCCGAAAATGCTATTAGGTTCTTCTTCTTCTTCTAGACCCTTGTATAGATTTCCGACCTTTTAACAGAATCAGGTCAGAATAGCACTTTGACGTCATTTTGGCTCCAAATGCTAATTCAGTGAATTTTTTCATCGCGGTACTTTAGGTTTGTTTTCTGTTCCTGCACTGGTTGCACTAGTTCAAAAAGTGTACACTAAAGCGTTTTCTGTACCCAAAATGGCGTCAGCGGCAGTGTTTTTTGCTTAGAACATATATAAATGGAACGGGCATTGCCTATACTTCCCATGGCTCGCGCTGATGCAAACATCTGTAGGATAAATGTACCCAATGCGCATGCGCAGCATCACGTTTTACACATCTGTGTAATGTACGAATGTGTAAAAACACTAAACCAACTGCACAATTTACACAGATGATGGTGCTGCGCATGCGCATTACGAACGTTGATCCCTTACTACCTTTCTCTCTCGCACAGATGTGGCTTCACGTTCAGCGCCCTATGTCCGTTCCATTTATATATGTTCTAAGGTTTTTTGTTCCAGTGCAACAGAACTCAGTGCACGAGTTCACCGAACTGGCTGCACTAGGCCTTGAGTCAGTGTAAGCAGTGCAAGTACCGGTGTGCACTAATTCAGCTACAGAAAACAGATTTCGCGTAAATGACACATAGCAAATGGTGGCAAGTTCGAGAGTCCACGACTAATAAAACGGTAAGTATATGGAAATAAAAACTTTTCTCGATCTAAAAGACTTATATTTCAATACATTAAAAATGCATACATACAAAATAAAAACCGTCACAGTTAGCTAAAAATCGTAACTAATGAGCATCAAATTTGTAAGGTTAGAAAATGTCATGTTAATGTGTAATAATTATACCACAACTACATTTTATAAGCAACGATTTCTACTTATTTATAATAGAAGTTGAAATATATCTTTGGTAATTATGGAGAAAACGGGCGACCTCACCGATTTTAATAAAATTAGGCTCATTCGATGCGTTTTTGCATGAAACGAAAGAATCTGGCAAAAAAAGTGTCGCTCTGCCTCGCGAACCGAGATATTTAGCGTTAAAGTTGACGACTATGGAGGTTAGGAAATCTGTCATACCGACTATGTGTAGTGCTACGAGTATGCCTTCTTCATGCTCTCTGACTTCATGCGCATGCGCTTGGTTTCGTTTCGGTCAGAGTGCACGAAATTTAAAATCAATGGTATAAAATTAAACGTATGTAGTAGTGCTTAGACAGTGTCCCCTTGGAATATTTGTAACCCATGTAGACAGTGGGGTGTATAGACAGTAATGCTTGGGTTCGGGTGGCTACGCCGCCCGAACGAAATTTAAATATAACATCACAACCGCTTGGGGCCTAACCGCCTAGAAGTTACAGCTGAGAC